GACAGACAGACAGACAGACGGACGGACGGACAGACGGACAGACAGACGGACAGACAGACAGACAGACAGACAAAGATACAAAAATGTCGTATTTCAGTTATTTAAGATTACTCATCATCAACATGCATCACTGACTTGTTTTTTTCCATCAAAATTCTGTAACAGTAGACCAAGGATATAACTTTCTGTGTGTGCAATCATTTCAGAGATTTTTTTTTCTCAAATATTTTCAAGGTACAATTAGAGGAGAATTACCTTGGCTAATTAGAAGAGCGGCGCTGTTTTCTGTTCTTGTGAGCTCAGAGCAACGATGTGACAGTGGACAAGGAGTTAAGGGCAGAAAGACAAGAGAGAATTTGGTGGAGAGACAGAGCAACGCTGAAAAAGGCAACGTCAACAAACCGAACTCAAGTGTTGTCTAAAATATTAGGACACTCAGTTAGTACAGAGGGGGTGAAGAGAATTATTCAAATGTAAGGCACTCATAACAAGAGAAGAAGTGTGTAAACACACACACACACACACATGCTGAATTATTGTGTGTTTACACAATTATTACTCCCACACCAACATTATAAAAGAAAGTCTGTTGTCAGCTGCAGCTGCCAGTGCAAATCAGTGATCTTCATCACTCAGCATATTCTTCACTCTCCTCCTCCTCTGGATCACAGTCACTGCTGTTATTATTCAGATTGAGGGAAAATGACAGCCGTGTGTCTGTGTGTGTGTGTGTGTGTGTGTGTGTTCGGTGGGGGTGGAGGAGGGCATCCCCGGCCTACACATGCAGGCTGCAGGAGCACACACTTCACATTGACCTGCAGCTCTGCTAAAGTGACTTCAAACACGACAACAGTCACCGGAGGATCATCTGAAACCACGGCTGTGAAACCTCACCGTGGTGGAGTCTCAGAAATGAATCTTCACTCAATCAGCCCACAAAACATATATATAACTGTGTGAAACGATGGGTGGGTTGATACATTTATGTTACTTTTAAGCCTGGCCGAGCTCAGACTCACTGATTTTATTTATTTTTTTCAAACCTGCATTTAGACTGATATCTGCCCAAATTATAATTGGAAGCACCATGAAACATTAAACAATTTGATTTAGATTTGCTCATCCATGGTGCATTTTATTTATAATTAAATAATTATATAATTTTAATTGATAATTAAAATTGATTTTTTGTAAAAAAAAAAACAGTTATTCACAGTTGTATATTATGTATTTTATTCCCTATATTGAAATACATTTAAGTAAATGCAATGTTAATGTGGAGAGGACTGCCATTCCCATGACTCTTTGCGAGCAACACAGGAAGTGGAAGTCCAGTTGTTTGCCAACAGCTAAAAAAGCTAACATTTAGTGTCAAAAATCATCCCATCTGTGGTGCTCATTGTTCCCATGTTTAGGTAACACCGTAGATTTGAAACAGTAGTGTTTTTTTTACCTGACTCTCCACCAGCATGGCCATGTCCATGAACATGTCATGCAGCTCTCTAATACTGTTCTCCAGCTTGATGATCTCGTTGTGTCGAGTCTCAATCTCATTCATGGCTTGCTCGGTGATGTTGTCCATGATGATCTGATGAAGAGCACAAACCAGAAAACAGTTGTGGAAACACACCTGGTGAGTCGGGTGGGGGTATTTTACATGGGTAACTTTTCTTACCCCTGAAGTGAAGATAGCCGGGTTGTCGCTCTCCAACATGCTCTCCAGCTCCTCATTGGTTGTATTCCTTCCAGCTAAAACACAGCAAAATCAGGAGATCACGTCCTGTTTGAAACACCGTGGATGTCCGTGGTTTAGTAGTTAGAGATGAACAAACTAGTTAATGTTACCACCACCTCGACACGTTCTCATTCTTCAGATATTCTCTTTCTGCTGCAGGACAGTTTATTCAAATATATTCTAAGATAAAGTACAACTTTATGATAAACAACATCATTATCTCGGCAGGAATCGTGAGCCGCTCCTCTTGGATCTAATGAC